GCAAAATAGGGGGAAGGGTGGGGGGACTTGCCATTTGGAGTGCCGTTGGAGCTGCCACCGCCGTTTGGAGTGCCGTTGGAGCTGCTGTCGCCGTTTGGAGCTGCCTCTGCCGTTTGGAGCCGCCGCCGCCGTTTGGAGTGCCGTTGGAGCTGCTGCCACCGTTTGGAGCTGCCTCTGCCCTTTGGAGCTGCCTTTGCCGTTTGGAGCCGCCGCCGCCGCCGTTTGGAGCTGCCACTTCCGCGTTTGGAGCACTGCCGCTGTTTGGAGCACCACCGCCACTCCAAACACGGTGGCAGCTCCAAACATGGAAGCAGCGGCTCCAAACGGCAGAGGCAGCTCCAAACGGCAGAGGCAGCTCCAAATGGCGGCAGCAGCTCCAACGGCACTCCAAACGGCAGCGGAATGGGCAGAAGGGAAAGCAACAGCGGCAGGTGCCAAAGGTCTGGGGTCTGCAGCAAAGGTGTTTGGTGGGAGTAGGGAGCTCTCTGCGCTTCGCCATGATCGCCCGTTAGGAGCAGCTGGTGGCGAGGCTGCCCGCGGGGCGCTCTAGATGAGGATGAAAGGGGGGAAATTAAGTTACCCCCGAAAAGACGGCCTAGCCGTTTTTTCGGGGCTCAAAAAAAAGTAAGGTTCGGCCTTATTATGTGAGAAACACGATAGTAGGAAAGAGGAATTTATGGTGTAGCGAATTTACTCATCGCTTAGTTACATAACACATTATTTTCCTGTCTACTCTAATAAAACCCATGGCTTTTGTGAAACTTTTCAGATTTTATCCGCTTGTCTTAATCAGCAATTGAAACAATGCAGAACTGTGTACATTGAACTCAGTGACCATGTATAACTGTGATTGTCTCCTTTCACAGCTTATTACCTTGTATTCTTTCCTCTCTTTCTTTGAAATCGTTGGTAATATCCAAATAATCCAAAAATGAAAAAGGTCTGGGTGGCTGTCAGTAAAAATAAAATGGCATAAAAATGACTAAAACCTTTAGTGGATAATATGTGTCAATATATGAATTAAAATACTGGGATTCTGTGCACTACAATCCCAACTTTAACAAAGCCTTAGGAACAATAAAGTACAAAATGGGATGAATGCAGCAGAATTCACAATGGTATTAAGATCCTTGCTTCTGTCTTGCTTAAGCGTGCACGGACATTTTTTTTTAAGCTTATGTTTCCTTGCAAATGTTATGTACATAGATGGTGTTATTTATCAATTAAAACCCCAAAAGTATATTCTAAGTTTAAATCAACTACCCATTCATATATGGGGATTTTTGGCAGCTCTGTAGCAATGGCTATTATATTTTACAATATTCTGTTAAATAGGCTAGACTGGAAAGTCAAATAACTTCCTGGAAAATGATCCCTTTTGTACTCAGTGCCAAGAAAACTATATGGATATATCTATGTAGTTACCAGGATAAGAGGTCAATTTAAGGGCATCTTTATCTTGATTTTTACAACTTTTATTGGAGGTATCTGGGATTGAATCAGAGATTTTTGTATTCTTAAGATTCATTGCTCTATCATGGAGCTTTTTTCAAGTAATACTGTATCCAAATAGAGTAACAGATTGGAAAGTTTCCTGCTCCAATGCAATTGACAGATGAACATTTTGATTTATGTTGCAATTTAATGCATGTTTTCATAGTAATAGATCTTGCTGCATTGGGAAGCACTTATGTTCAAATCAGTATGAACATCAGAACTTAGACTTATAAATGCCATTCCTTATTCCACTTGTTTATATTCTGTAACATTTACAAGATATGAAATGGTCCATTGGGACTATGATTGTAGATAACTGAAGAGAATGATATAACTTTTTCCTTTCTTAAGCTGTGACGTAAACTTAATAAATTGGTCAGAGTTGCAACTCTTTTGAAATCTTGATTATATTGACAAATTATAATGGTGGAATGATCTTTGAAATAGTTTTCTCTGCATCATTTGATGAACAGGAACTCTGTACAAATGTAGACTGGAAGAGAAGGACATCTGAGGTTATTGCTGGTTTTCCCTTTTGAACATAAACTGCTCATCTCTTTAGTGCTCTGCAGGACTCAGGCCATAACTTACATGTCCGAACAAAGCAGCTGGCAGAAAAGAAAAGGGCATCCAGCATTCCAGCAGACTGTTTTCTTCTCAAACCAAGAAAATAGTTTCTGGCACTAACTAGATTGTAGATCTTATTATAGAAAGTGTTTGGCGCCACCAAATACAAAACTTTTGCACTATCTGCCATTAAAAAACTCAATGTTCTTCTTGAAAAAAAATAGAAAAGAAGTCTAAGTCAATAGCCCATCCTAATGTATCCAGCATCTATCTCCATAAAGGAGAGAAAAGATGGCATTGAGTAGCCGTGTTTGTCCATGATAATTTAGTTGTAAATTCTTGTCATAATATGGATATTAATGACCTGTGTTCCAAAGGAGCTTTTCAAAAGGCAATTGGACTTTCTTGGTATTTTTTTTCCCTTGAAAATGTTCCACTTCTCATCTACGAAGCTTCTTCAGTTCTGGCTAAATAATTGGTTGTTAACTCTCTGAGAGTCCTTAAGGCCACTTGGGCGTGTATCTGTACCCTTGGGGTCACCTGAATTGGGTGCAAATGGGAGTGAAACCTTTTTTGGGATTGCTGAAAGGACTGTGTTGTAGACAGGAAATATGTTTTATATCCCACCACCACCACCACTCTGTTGAGAGAAGGCTGTTCAATTTTAATACAGATGGCCTCTTTGACTAGTTTTTAGAGGTCGTCAGAGTGGACCACTGGTTTGAAAGAGGCTATGTATACTAAAATTGAATAGCCTTCTCTCAACAGAATGAGAGGGATAAACACCATCTATCTCCTGTCTACAACACAGTCTTTTCAGCAGTCCCAAGAAAGTTCCACTCCTATTTACATTCCAATTCAGATGACCCCGAGAGTACAGATAACTCCCAAGTGGCTCTCAGAGAGCTAAGGACTGATCTTCAGGGTGCTAACATCCAGATGACTGCTAAGGAATGATTCCCCACCATTCAGCCAGAACCAGGGGTGGGATTCAGCCGGTTCGGACCAGTTTGGGCAAATTGGATATTAAACTTACATCTGGTTCACCGAACTGGTAGTTGAACTGACTGGCTGGCCCCGCCCATCTCTCCCCTCCGCTCCCCGGAGTCTCCGTGTGGCCCGTTTTGGATGCAGGTAAATGCAGGGTCCCCGCGGAGGCTCTGGGAGAGTAAAAAATGGGCCTTCTGGAAGTCCGGAAACGGGCCTGTTTCCAGCTTCCAGAGGGCCTCCAGACACCGAGGGAGGCCATTTTTACCCCCCTAGAGGCTCGAGGGAAGCCTCCAGACCCTGGGGAAGGCAAAAAACATCCCTCCTGGAAGTCCTAGTAGGCCACGCCCACCATGGCCATGCCCACCCAGCAACTGGGAAGCAAACCAGTTGCTGGGATTTTTAAATCCCACTCCTGGCCAGAACTAAACAAATTTCTTCGATGAGAAGTGAAACATTTTCAAGGTAAAAAACAAACCAATCAAGAAAATCCAGTTGCCTTTTGAAAAGCATCTTTGGGACACCTATGACCTGGATGATTGAGAATCTCCATAGACATTAGTGACCTATGTACTTCTGGTACAGATACTAATGGTGGAATATCTAGCTTCCCCTTCTGCCCCTTTTTCCTCTAAGGTTATTTTTTCTTTGAAAACTGTTAAACTTTACTTAAAATAGGGGACAGCTTAACTGTAGGTCTATTCCCCATAAATGAAAATCATCAGGCACTCTCTTTTAATAGAGGGATATTTTTAGATGTACATAAAGCTTACAGAAGGAGTCTATGTCATAGTAACAAGAAAGTGGAACGAAGATTGTCTTCTGCTCAGTAGTTTTTGAGAATTTATCCTCAACAGCTCATCAGTTTAGGGAACTTGTACACATCAATGACAGAAAAGCCATTCAGTTTCCATCTTGTAGAATTGTTCTTGTTGTTTTCAAATTTCAGTCTTTTGTTATTTAAAATGTGGTTAGTCAGTTTTAGTCTTTCATTGAGCTGTCCTCATTCTTGAAATGTACATGAGCTTAGACTATGTAGTATCATCCAAAATTGTTATAACCCTTTGGAAATATGGACTATATACCTAAATAATAATAAAAAATTCCTTCACATTGAGTGACATGTGGACACCTGGGGAGGTTGCAGAATGGGAAATTTAGAAGGTGGCTCTGGATTGAAGAGGCTATTTTAAACAGGCATTTAAATACCGTATTTAGAAAAACACTGGACTATTTCAAGTTGCAGGTTCAGAAAGGATGCGGTTAGGGAATGAAGTGTGTAATTTTATGGATACCAGATAACAATAGTAAAGAAGCTAAGAGAAGACAAGAGGGAGAAGAGCAACACCTGTGGTTACAGAAAGAAGAAATCCAACAGTGTTTGTTAGTTTCCTGCTTTCTTCTGCCTTAACAATCTGTTTTGAAATGAGTTTGTGGGCGGTAAATTCTGAGGGCAAAGCAGGGCAGAAAACACCGGGCCAAGGTTTTTTTTTTCTTTGCATTCTCGGTGTAATGTTTAAAGTCCATAATGGCACACGCAGAAGTGTTTCATTTATTAATCTAGGATTACACCAAGAAATCTTTGAAAAAAAATAAACAAAAACAAACCCCAGAGGTTCTCTCCTTGCCTTTTTGAAAAGCGCAAGCACCTCTCTGATGATGTTGCAGTTAAAAAAAAAAGCATTCTAAATTTAATCGGTTTATAAGGTCTGGCAAAAGAGGGCTGGGAGAATCCCGGAGGAGAGGGGGGGGGGAACATTCCTTGCTTAAACTCTCTGCCTTTCCAACGAATACACAAAAAGAGGGAGGAAAGCTGGGATTAGGAAGCCTTGCTAAAACTCAACAGTTGCAGCCCAGCCTGTCGCGCTCGTTTTTCGGGGGCCGCGTGCCGCGCCGAGCAACTCTTTCCACCCCGCCCCCAGCCACGAGGTGCTTTCCAGCCCAGCTGCCTCAGGGGGAGCGCGCAGCGTTGAGTCAAAGCCGTTTGGAGCCTGCATGAAATATTAGCGGCAATTGTGCTTACTCATAAGTAGTAGCCTTTTATCTCCTCCTCCCCTTTTTTGTTCCTTTTTCTTTTTCCAATGCCGTGTCATTTGTGTTCCAACAGGGGTGTGACTTCAGATTCTGCTCTCCTCCCTGTTTAGGTCCCTCATTACTTCAGGCGCGCTTCATATTGGAATAGAAGTGGTAGCAAAACTTAAGACGCCGGCTTTCTGGACAGATTTGTGTGAGCTGCGAGAGGAAACTCCTTCGTCCTTGGGTACAAGATCTGGAAGCGGGAGCAATGGCCAAGTTCTGGTTGTGTGCAGCCGTTGGATTTTACGTCTTGCTGCCGCTTTGTGCAGCCCGAATGGGTAAGTGGCGGGTGAATGGGAAATCTATCAGGAGCTGAGCTGAGTTAGAGGAAAATGGTTTGGAAAATGGAGATGAAGACTTCTCCTTGCCAGTGCCTCGAGTGTTAACACTGTTTAATCCCAGTGGCGTTTTACTGTTGGTTTGTCCGTGTGCGTTTTTTCCCCCTTTGGAGAGCTGAGGCGGTTGTTGGACCCCCGTACAGAGACGTCTGAAAAGTTAGCCCTGAATGGGAGAAATACTGATCGGTAAAGTGAACGGTAAAGTTTGGCAGAAGTTTTGCGCATCTGGTGCGCATTCAGCAGTGGCTAAGGCACTTATGGATTCATTTTCCCTCCCTTCGTTGTGTAAAGCAGATGGGAGAGGGAGAAAAGGGAGGGAGAGAGCGAGTGCAAACCCTCCTGGCTTGGACTTAGGTCTCTGCAGTGATGGGAAGCCAATTGTCCCCATAGGAGATGCAGGAAGCATTGTACCTCCAACGTAATGAAAACTGAGCAGTGTTCGTTTCTTTCAGACGAGACTGCTGCGACCTGGAAGCAGATTTTTAAGCCCAGTTAGCAGGAAAAGAGTAGCTTTTTTCAACTTCATCCTATTTTCTCTAGTATCCCCCCTTCGTCCTTTCTAGTTGTTCCGTGAATAATAAAATGAAATGCTTGTTTGTGAATGAAAGTGGTTTTTGTGTTTTTAAAAATCACATGCCCCAAATGTCAAAATGCTCTTAAAGTTTGATGTGATACAGAGCCATAAATAGTTGCAGTGAAATAACTGTGCCTTTAACAGAGACTCATTGTTAATAGTAATTGCCCTGAGCTGTTTTGAAGGGAATCTATTATCCTTTCACCCTTATTTCTTCTCCCCTTACTCAGCACCCTATACCTGTTCTTGGAGGCTGACAAAACACTTTTAACAACTGTGGCCTCCTCAGTACCTTTATATTATTTGAACATGAAGAAATGAATTAGGGAAAAGTTGCTTGGCTGATTTGTAAATGGGTGTGTCAAATTGCACATTTCTCAATAAATTTTGGAATCGTCAAGATAAAATATCCAGGAAAGCATGAACAAATATTTCTCTAATGATTGTTATGAATTTAATTAAACACTCTATGAGTTTAATTAAAATAAATTCAAGGTGTTGAGTATGTCTTTTTAAGGTGGTAGAAAGTAATCCTTATACCTGTGAGATATTAAGTTTTACAATACATGTAACATATGCATGTGCACAAGTAAATAACATAATATTTCCAGTTTACTATCCACTCTCAACTAATACCTTATTTTATGAACTGTCAAATCTTTGATTCATAATAACAGCTTGCTATTAGTCTTGGTGCAACCTTTTGTAAGAAAGATAGAAGGGCAGCCTCGTCCTCCATGTATATACGCCATTCCTTGTTAAGGTTAAGGGAGAAAAAGAGATTTCATGTACATCTTAAGTAACTTTATATAATGTTTTAAGATGGTAGGCAGTGCAGTATATTCCAGATGAGTTTTGTGGGCGGAAATGACTGTGCAACTATGGATTATCCCTTTCCTATGTTCTGAGATGGCAATAGTCTAGGCAATAGAAATAGGGAATAGAATCCCTTCACTGGGAAGTAAGGCTGAATAAAGTATATAGTATCATGATTTGTGATAAACGTGTTCATTGACTAGTGAATAGTTTTGTAGGTTTCAAAACCCTACAAAACTTTATATTCAGATGCCAAAGTAGTACCAGAAATTCTTGTATAACAGATGCAAGGCATGCCTCTCCCAAGCCACTTTCAACCTAGTGGGAGTAAGTTAAAGGATTTTCCGGAGGATAGATGACATTTGCCTTGCATTTATATTGCTTCCCTAATAGGCACACTAATGGTTTATAGAATTTTAATCCTGATATTGTTGTTACGGGCCAATAAAACTTCACTATGAAATCTTGCTTACCCAGGAAACTTTACTAAACACCCATGGGCACATTACTTTCTTTAAATTTAATCTAGATTCTATGCTATAGGAGGCTGTTGTAGAATTAACACCCCCATGCTTACATAAGTTATCCTAAAATGAGTAGATTATGATGTGACAATCATAATGTAAAAAAAAAACTACAAACATCAGATCAGAATTTTATAAGTATTTGAAGATGCCAGTGATTGCAAAGTTCTTGCCATCTTAGAGGATAATAGCTATATGATGTAGGTAATACTGTATTGTACAAATTTCAGAAAGTCAGTCTAGTAAAATATAGCCACAGGGATCATTTCTTCCAGTTCTCCATTCTCAGTATTTATTGGAACATGTGTTTCATTCATGTGTTGAATTGAATTCACGTCCATGTATGATGGTGAATCTCCAATACTTAACTCATTTAAGATTTTTTCTGATAAGCTATTTAAGTTGACAGTTAGATTGAAGTTAACGTCCGTGAATGTTGGGCACATGTTTCTTAGCTTCTCTTTTTTCACTTTATTTCTGTATGAGGTTATGTCTTCCATTTCCTGAAACGTTTGATGTGTTTGAGCCAGAACTTACTTTTAGATTTTCCTTTAGATTCTGTGTACAATTACTTGATCCACTTTGTATTGTTAGCTTATAACTTAAGGTCTTTCACAGCTTGGGACAGGGTATCTAAGGGAGATAGATGATAGATGGATGGATGGATGGATGGAGAGAGAGAGAGAGAGAGAGAGAGAGAGAGAGAGAAAGAGAGATGCATTACCAAGCTCTGATTCTGAAACATTTCTGTGGATTAACCCATTATGTGACAGTGATAGATAGCTAAAGGCAAAGAGACCTTCTGTTGATAGTAGTGCACTTACAAAGCACTTTCTCCAAAGCAATTCCTCTCAATCATATCCTATCATTTTATACCAGAAGATCTACTTTTATTCCTCCTTCAATACATAGTCAGTTTTTTTGTTTTCTGGTTGTTTTTCTGCCTCTTTTATATGTTTTTGGACAGCTTTAACATGTTCTTTGTATTTTGATCTTATTTTTATGCCTTGTCCCATAGAAATTTGACCATAACTGAGAGAACTAAAAGACTCAATACCCTCTAGTATCTTAGAAAAGAAAGTGCTGATCAGCAAAGGGCTCTGATCTCTTCAATCAGCTTCCGAAGTTTTACCTCAATATGCAGAGCTACTTAACTTAATGTATGACTTGTATACATTGTAGTTGTATTTCTATTATAGGTAAAGGTAAAATCAGATGAAATCAGGGGGCCTGACAGAGATAGAATAAGTGAGAAAATCTAGTCCAATTTGTGCTCAGTGAACAATAGGTAATGAGGAAGCCCCTTCAACATCTTCAACAGATGTCTGAGGATAGTTTGCAAAGTAGAATTTGTCAATTTCCATGGCATTTTGTTCAATTACATTTCACAGATGTAGGAATTTTTTGTTATGTTTAACCAGAGTTTATTCTTGCAATTTCTACCTATTGTTTTGAGCTCTGTTTTAGGAACAATAGAACAATTACGTTGCATCTTTTGCATGCCATGTTTTTAGTTATATAAATACAATTATTGACCTTTTTCTGGCATTCATCTGGATACATTAAGACTTGAAACAGATTTGACCTCCAAGCAGGCTTCAAAACACTTATAAGCAGATGTAAGCACAACTCTTCTTCAGACTTTATGGCTGAATGTATGCAGTTTGCAGAGCTGCCTTCATGGCACCATTTTACAAGCCTTCACGTGTTCAAGCTATAATCCAGCAGGCTAAACTTTTTCAAGTGTTTCCGTTAGAACTTGTTATTTATCCCCCACACCTTCCTGGTTGCTTTTCTGTGACGTGCTTCAGTATGTTTCTTGAAACATGTTGTCTAGGCTGAGCTTTTTATTTTTTAAAAAAAATAAGTGTGAAAGTATACTGAAATGCAATGTTTTTAATTTTATTTCAGTTGAATATTGTTTTGGTTTTGGCCTACCTTCTCAGAATCCTAAGAAATTTAATACAACTCAAGTCCAAAGGCAAAGTGTGAGACTGTTACAGGAGTTAACTGTGGGTTCAGAAACGGAAGGGGGGATGTGATAAATGTTTCTGAAGCAGAGTCAAGAAATACGAGAAAAGCATGAGTAGTGAACGAAGAAAGGGTAAAGATCCTCAGAGAGCAATGTAACATATAAACTTGGTTACTTATGAATGTCCATAAACAAAAAAGTGTAACATGCAATAAATTTGAAAAAGAAAAAAATGGAAAAGAGAGAATAGCAGAATGAAATGTATTATCGCCGCACTTTATCAGTAAAATACATAGCATACACAAGCATAGAAATCCAGATCAGATATAGCTGTTCCAGAGTTGAATAATAGCAGAAGAAAAATACTTGAGAGACATTTTAGAAATTTAAAATACTAGGATTATGAATCCAATATAATGAATAAATGAGAAGGGTTAATGTCCCCATTATCAAGGAATAGAGATCCAATAGTCATTCGGAACAGTTGCAAAGGATATTTCAAGGTCAGAGCCATTTGAATACTGATTTAAATGAAAAGGAAAATTAGGATATGTTCCATTCTATAAGACAGTTATAAACCTCAGATTCAAACATTTAATCAATTTATCTTTTGACTCAGTTCTAACAAAACAATATACGCTTAAATTATAGTATTTGGGTTTTTTTCTCCCCATTTCTGAATATATTTCATAAATCATATCAAATTATGATAAAGTGAACAAATTTGAAGATTTCAATTCTCTTACTCATTAACATTTGTCTTGTTCTTTAATGAGTTCTAGTTAAATAAAGAATGTAGCAAGAAAAGTATTTGCTTTACGTTGGAAAACAATATATTGTCAGGATATATCAGCTATATGAGATATTTTAAATACCAAGTATTATAGTAACTGGAAAACAAAAAGAAAAGGGGGTATGGTTTAGAGCAGGGGTGTCAAACTTGCGGCCCATGGACCATCATGCGCTAGCTATGTCTGGTTTAGTGAAGGAGGAAAAAGTCGTAATATGTAACGTGATGACGAAGTGATGCTGCAAGTTTGACAGCCCTGGTTTA